AAGAGTTAATTCCACGGTACTGTGTAACTCGCTCGATGCTATCTCGCTCAACGTTCAGCCGACCTCAAAATTTGAGCTGAACGTTGAGCAAAGTAGCATGTTTAAAACATATTTTGGCGTCAGGTTGTCCGTATCTGATAGATAAGAGCTATCGGTCTGTGGTCGCGAGGTCTCGCAGGATTACTAGCCACGCAATTTCTCTTTGTGTGCGTGTTGAAGTCTAACCTGTTACGCGTTCAGGTCCGTAGCGTAGCTCGAGTAGATCTTAAAGCTAGGAAGCAAGTAATGTAAACACAAACTGCTATTCCTACTTATCCACTCAGCTCGCTATATCCTAACGTCGCTTGCTCCTCTGATCCACTAGTTCGAGACCGAGGCTTAAATGTAAGGAGAGATCAACGGCGCCAACCAATAGGATTCGGTTTCCTGACTTCAATGTCCGTGGCCCGTGTCCCTCATCTGAGACGCATTCGCATCTTTGCTCTGGTCACCCATGTTACTGCACTTCAGCGTAACGGGCGCGACCATAGTCAAATCATAACATAACCTGCTTGGACTCGCGAGGATTTGACATCTACCGTGCATTCGGCGGGGCATTTCGTGAGCCAAAGGAAAAGAGTGACTACTCTGTCGCTTCTAACGATTCGTTCATACAATCGGTAACGTCACCGAATTAAAACAGTCTAAACTAGCCCGTAAGGCAGCCTAAGCGCAGATAATTAAATCTCCAAGTGGAAGTACCTTGAGAAAACTAGCAGATAGAATTTTTTGTGGCATCCATTCATCATTGCCTTTTTTCTGTCGCTTTTACCCAGTTTACCCTTACAGATTGTATCACACTGCGAGCCGCTGAAGTTTGCGCGCTTCGCATGCTTCATTTGCGAAACAAGCATCGACACTCAAAGATCAATACAAAGCTCACTTAAAGAATGATCTACTTGTACTAACCGCAGGATCACCGCTCTTGCAAGATACCGGTTTACAGAGGCAAGTTGAGATTCCAAATATTATTTTTTTTATCTAGAACCCAGCATCTCTTAAACTACGCGCTTGATCTATTTCGTCGCTTCATTTGGGGCTGATTCGACCAGCGAACAACCTACGAGAGATTGCTAAAATGTACAGCAGTGAAGATCCCATGTATATTTTGGAAAAATATCTGAAAAATATCATTTCATACCCGACCATGTGGACTTATAATGCTTCCTGTAATCTGATTCGAGCTATTACCACACGGGATTGACCCCTCGAATGAAGTTTGGGACTTGTGCTGCATGTCAAAAGTTGTTGGACTGTCATTCTTCAAGGAGTGTGGCCTATTGAAGCCGTTTTTCTCTCTTTTATATAGTTTGTATCCCATAGTACCAGAACATGTTGCTGTCCATTTGGTCCGCTAGTGCCTTGGTGGAACCTGCAGAATAATGGTTTTACTAACAAATAATGTTGTACTAAGTGCATTCAACTACGCACGTGCTGAATCTCTAATATCGATTTCTAGTATCTTTCGTTACGTAAACAAAAGTATATTCCCAACTAAGTCGAAGACGATCTAGTAGACTTTGCATTGAGGTTACCTGTCTAGCAAAGTTTGAAGATGCATTTCTTGATAATACTAGTACTTCAAAATGGGTCTCGTGAACGTGGGCGTAACTACAGCGGCAGGAAACGTCGATGCAATAGCACACTCTTACTTCTTTAAACCGATTCAAAACTCAAAACTAAATTCCAAATCTCATACATAAGTATCTTGTTAACCTCGTTGAAGCGCTTACAAGTTCGCCATGCGCTGTGCATGAATAAATATCTAAGAACAGTATTCCAGATCGGAGTCTGCTTTAGAATGAGTCAACCTCTGCTTGACATGTTGGGCATCGCATCTCCTCGTTCAGTTTCGGCACAATGCACTCGTCGTGAAATTGGTGGCCGCACGACAGCGAGGTCGTGTAGCTCAGCACGCTGCTACGGTGGCTCGATGAGCTGCTGTCCGTCTCTGAAAAAGTCGACGCACCAAACGCCTCGCCGTCCAGACTCGAGCTGCACAACGTGCACACACCCGCTGCATCCTCCGCTTCATCCGCTAGCTCATCGCCCTCGTCCGACGTCAACGACATGGACGAACACACACTGTCACGCAAACTTCCGAGGTTGAAGCTGCTGTTACTGCTGCTGCACAGTCCGTTCAGCGGGTGACGCTTCTCACTCACGTCACCCAGGATGAAATCCGCCACCAGCTGCGTTATGCTGCTGGCCACAATGGAGCACGATGCCGCGTTCTGTCGGTTCACTACGAACTTCTGCAGCGACGTCAGCACGTGCTCCAGTGCGTCGCGACGCTTCTCCACGGCGCAGTCGCTGTGACCACCGAAGCCGAAAAGCGACGCGGATCCCGGGAAGTAGCTCTTGACAAACGTATATAGCCATGGGCATTCAGCCTGGCAGAAGTGACCCAGGCGCAGCGCAGCCAGCAGCTGCGACTGGAAAGACTTGTACTCGTCGAAGGAGCGCGCCTTGCGCCAGCGGGTCTGCGAGGCGGCGTGCTCCACGTGCAGTTCGTAGCGCACGTCGCGCTTGCTGAGGCGCACGGCCGAGACGCGCAGCGAGAGCTGCTCGAGGAGAGCTGCGAGTGGGGGTAGCGTTGTTGGTACCGCGCGCTTGCGGCCAGCGGTGGAGGTTGTTCCACTGGACGAGCCTGTGCTCGAGTGGCGGTGTTGGTGATACATTTGGTGGTGGGCCGTCAGCATCCTTGTCGTAGATCTACTGTTCTCAGTGTTGCAAGCGTTGTCGCCGCCGTATCAATGCGATAGCTGGCCAATTGGGGAGTGATGGATGGAGGGAGCGGGCATCACGCTCCACGCGGGAGTCTCGCCTCGGCGTAATCGAGTGCTTCCAGCAGAAACCGAATGTGCGTAAGCTGGCCTGGCCATGCGCGCCTTGCTGCGTAAACCTTGGCGTCACAAGTCGCCCTGTACGGGACGATGCCTAATTTCGGAGCTCTGCGATAGCTGATTAATTTATCAAAACGCCGATACAACATTGGACTTTAATCGGGTCAAATCACTTGTGTAACACGATGACCTCTATACACAGATACTATTATTTCCGGTAGGTATTGTTGAGCTGACCATCATTCTAGCGACTTACGGCACTATTTGCGCCAATCGCCGCATGCCATTCGCCCAACGCTACAAATATCCATTAATAACTCGCTGCCGCGATGGCTACAATCACTGCCGCCCAGTGGCAGTCTTCGCAGGGCGGCGGGATTGTGTTGGTGTCACGGCAAAGAGACGACGGATATTCTCGATGATGGCAGTGGCGGTAACACCATGATTCACTTGCGGTGGCCCCTCGACGCGACGATGACGGCAAGGCTCCGATTTGCTCACTCAGCTGCCACTGGCGG